TGTTTTTACTTTTTACTTAACACCATTTTCACTGTTGATTCGAGTTCACATCGTTATTTTGAAATCTCACCTTGTATGGGTGGTGTAGTTGGTTATCACGTTAGTCTCACCCACTAGAGGTCCCCAGTTCGAATTTGGGCTCAAACATTATCAGAATTGTGTTGATTCGAGTTGTGTTTTTACTTTTTCCTTAACACCATTTTCACTGTTGATTCGAGTTCACATCGTTATTTTGAAATCTCACCTTGTATGGGTGGTGTAGTTGGTTATCACGTTAGTCTCACCCACTAGAGGTCCCCAGTTCGAATTTGGGCTCAAACATTATCAGAATTGTGTTGATTCGAGTTGTGTTTTTACTTTTTCCTTAACACCATTTTCACTGTTGATTCGAGTTCACATCGTTATTTTGAAATCTCACCTTGTATGGGTGGTGTAGTTGGTTATCACGTTAGTCTCACCCACTAGAGGTCCCCAGTTCGAATTTGGTTACTTTTTCCTTAACAACATTTTCACTGTTGATTCGAGTTCAAATCGTTATTTTGGAATTTCACCTTGTCTAGGTGGTGTAGTTGGTTATCACGCTAGTCTCACACACTAGAGGTCCTTAGTTCGAACCTGGGCTCAGACATTATCAGAATTATGTTTTTACTTTTTCCTTAACAACATTTTTACTCTTGATTCGAGTTCAAATCATTATTTTAAAATCTTACCTTGTCCGGGTGGTGTAATTGGTTATTACGCTAGTCTTACACATTAGAGGTCCCTAGTTCAAACCTAGGCTTAGACATTATTAAAATTATGTTTTTACTTTTTCTTAACACCATTTTCACTGTTGATTCGAGTTCACATCGTTATTTTGAAATCTCACCTTGTCTGAGTGGTGTAGTTGGTTATCACGCTAGTCTCACACATTAGAGGTTCCCAATTCGAACCTTACTTTTTCTTAACACCATTTTCACTGTTGATTCGAGTTCACATCGTTATTTTGAAATCTCACCTTGTCTGAGTGGTGTAGTTGGTTATCACGCTAGTCTCACACATTAGAGGTTCCCAATTCGAACCTTACTTTTTCTTAACACCATTTTCACTGTTGATTCGAGTTCACATCGTTATTTTGAAATCTCACCTTGTCTGAGTGGTGTAGTTGGTTATCACGCTAGTCTCACACATTAGAGGTTCCCAATTCGAACCTGGGCTCAGACATTATCAGAATTATGTTTTTACTTTTTCCTTAACACCATTTTCACTGTTGATTCGAGTTCACATCGTTATTTTGAAATCTCACCTTGTCTGAGTGGTGTAGTTGGTTATCACGCTAGTCTCACACATTAGAGGTTCCCAATTCGAACCTGGGCTCAGACATTATCAGAATTATGTTTTTACTTTTTCCTTAACAACATTTTCACTGTTGATTCGAGTTCAAATCGTTATTTTAGAATCTCACCTTGTCTGGGTGGTGTTGGTTATCACGCTAGTCTCACACACTAGAGGTCCCCAGTTCGAACCTGGGCTCAGACATTATCAGAATTATGTTTTTACTTTTTCCTTAACAACATTTTCACTATTGATTCGAGTTCACATCGTTATTTTAAAATCTCACCTTGTCTGGGTGGTGTAGTTGGTTATCACGCCAGTCTCACACACTAGAGGGGTCCCCAGTTCAAACCTGGGCTCAGACATTATCAGAATTATGTTTTTATTTTGGAGTTCAAATCGTTATTTTGGAATCTCACCTTGTCTGGGTGGTGTAGTTGGTTATCACGTCTCACACACTAGAGGTCCTTCGAACCTGGGCTCAGACATTATTAAAATTATGTTTTTACTTTTTCCTTAACACCATTTTCACTGTAGAGGTCCTTGGTTCAAACCTGAGCTCAGACGTTCTAACTTTTTTCTTATAACACTCGCACTTGAAGAAGTTTTCAGATATGAGTGTTCATTCGAGTTTGAAGCATTACCCTAGAAGAAACAATTTCCATTATTAGAGCAGGTGAAGCCTTATGCTTGATAAACAACCCAATATAGATGCAACAGCTTTTGCTACAGAGAAAGATACATACAAAAGCGACAACCAATGGAAGAGTAATATGGATAATTTATGGTGTACCCACGGTAAGAAACCGCGACACACGGTGGAGAGTTGTTGGAAGTTGAATTGAAAACCTCCCAACCATGAATGAAGAAATCGAGGAGGCTCACAAAACCGTGGTTGGATAAACAAGGGAGACATGTCGAAGGAACGAGCGTGGATTCAATAATGAAGAGGTTGAGAGGTTGAGGGTATTATTGGACTCCCTCCACAAAACATCAAGTTCAAATGACTCGACAATCTTAGGTAAATCTTCATTCACCTTTTGTATAAATTCTTCAGAGATGAACAAGGATAATTCTTGGATTAGACTCCAATGCAACGGATCACATGACTTCATATTCACAATATTTTAAAACATATAAACCATGCCCGAGTAATCAAATACTTATAATAGCGAATGGAACCAGTGCCACCATTGCAGAAGCCAGTGATATAATCATCTCTCAAACCCTTACACTAAAAAATGTCCTATACGTCCCAAAACTATCTAATAGTCTAATCTTCATAAAAAAGCTTACCCATGACGGCCACTATAGAGTTATATTTTATCCTCATCATGTTTTGTTTTTCAGGATCAAGTGTCGAGAATAGACGATTGGATTTGTTAAGGAATTGAATGGTCTAGAACCATGATCATATTTCTGTAAGCCACCATTTCGATTCTGCTTCCTGGGATGCTCTTTTTCAGGCATTTGGAAGGACCACCCCATTGCACAGGAATGTTGTGATTAACAAACACACTATTATGGTAGCTTCACCCCTACAAAAAGCAATCAAAATCTCTATGGTTGAACTTGATCACAGTCTTCCTTTGAACCACTTGGCTTGAGAGGAGTATGGAAGGAAAGTAGTGAAACTACACTTATTTGATCTTAGTTTGCACACAGAAGCCACTTGGTGGAAGCAAAGAATTTTTTTTCTTTGTAATCAATCGCTAAGTGATTCTTGTGCTCCAACTGAAAGGGCTTTTCCCTACCCCACTAGTGTTTTGTAAACTTCATTACATAATTGAAATTCCATTTCCCTCTCAAAGGAAAAAGAAAGCACAGTTATTTCCTTACTCGTACATAAAGAGAAAAAATAATGTACGCATGGCAATAGACATAAAAAGATCATCGGTGCTAACGGCTAACTGAAGATTCTACAAGCATTCAACAAAAAGAAAAATAAACCATTTGATAAATGTGTTTAGGATGAAAGTCTCACGTCGGCTAATTTAGGGAATGATAATGAGTTTATAATCAAGAAATACTATCTCCATTGGCATGAAGCCTTTTAGGAAAGCCCAAAGAAAAGCCATGAAAGCTTATGCTCAAAGTGGATAATATCATACCATTGTGGAGAGTCGTGTTCGTCTAACATGGTATCAAAACCATGCCCTAAACTTAGTCATGCCAATAGAATCCTCAAATGTCGAACAAAGGACTCCTCGAAGGCATAGTCAAAAATGACTAAGACTCCAAAAGAAAAAGGAGTCGAGCCTCGATTAAGGGGGAGGCGTACTTTGTTCGAGGGGAGGTATTGGATAATAAAAGTCCCACATCGACTAATTTAGGGAATGATCATGAGTTTATAATCAAGGAATACTATCTCCATTGGCATGAGGCCTTTTGGGGAAGCCCAAAGCAAAGCCATGAGAGCTTATGCTCAAAGTGGACAATATCATACCATTGTGGAGAGTCGTGTTCGTCTAACACTTTCAAGTTCTCGTTCTAAACATAATGATAGCCCCAAAAGTCAGTCAGAACGATCTAATAAAGGTAAGGGTAAATACCAGTATTAAACGCTTCTGGGAGAGTATCAAAGTAGACCTTGAATTTGGAATCGGCAATGTGCTTCTCCTTCATGCTCCATATCAACAGCATTGTCTCAGACGACATGCCTTCGATCTTTGATAATATGGGATACTGAAATTTACGAATAAAGTCATGATGGCTCTACTTTCTATTTGTAATCATTCCTTACAAACTTCTCTCTCCACATTAATGCTACAAATTAAATATTAATAATAATATAAATAAATAAATAAATCATTCTATTGAAATCTGTACCATGGGCATTCACTTCAAATAGCACTTCTAACTACCACAGTCGGATTGCTCACAGTGATTACATATCCAAAAGACCATTTTAAGACAAGTGGGGTATGCAATGATGTCTCCAAATGAAAATGTCTGTCTGGAACTATACCTTATCTAGGTCATAGCACAAGCACTAATCTCACCGGTCTCTCCAAAGGAATTAACTAGCACTTACATCAACAAAAAGTAACCAACTTGAATACAATTGTGCATGCTCGTTATAAGAATGGAATTTACTGTGATGCGAGGAAACACTGATCCTAATTGCAACAGATACCCAGATAGAAAAGTATTTTACACAGAACTGGCGCACCTTGAACCATACCACTAAACTTATTGTAATCAATTGTTAAAGCATGCATGCTTAGAGGGAACAATGTAACGTCAATGCATCCCACGGCTGGTGGGGAGAAAAATGATCTTCTTAGCATCATTGTAGGATAAAAAATTCTTGAAAATATAAAATCGCTAGAAATTCAACCAACTTTAACTCTAGACATAAGCACTCAATTATCAATGTGCAACAGAGCATTGTTAAAGATGAGACGGGGAATTGAACAACAGTATCTGTATGAAGGCCAAGATTGTAATTCTTTTAATATCATTTTCTGTCAGGAAAGTTCTAGAAGATTGAAGTTCTAAGATGGCAACTACAACAGATTCTTAGCGATGAATTTACCATGGTGGTCTTCTGCACAAGTTCCTCAGAAATAACAATATCCAGAGGGATCTCCAATACGGTGTCACCAACGTTTAAATCTTCTTTGGCTATGGCTCCTCTACCAGCACCTTCAACATCTATATGAAGAATAAAGCATACAAATTACAATTGCTTGGTATTGAAAAACTTACGGTGCACCTCCAATATTTCAGGCTTTCCATTATGCTATTATTCAAAATCAAGCATCAATAGATGTAGATTACAAGAATATTGCCAAGAAACTATGATGGAAAAACTTACAAGCTATCTTCAAGCTAGTCCTGACGCCATTGCTCTCACCCCACTGTAACAAACAATTTTCTTTCACACAACTGTCTCCCAAAGTTTTAGCGTCCATACTGTATACATCTCCATACTTATGGATCATACGAATAGCAGCTTTCCGTAGCTCTTGCAGGACATTAAGCTGGACAGGCTTACAACTAGAGAGACAGATGTCAACAAGAGAAATTATTGTATTGAGGGCCTCCATTTCATTCCTAGGGCTGTAGGAATCTGCTGGTGTACATGCGTCATCTTCTCCAAAATACATTTCAGGCTGCAGCTCAATCATTAAAGTAGCTATCAATATCTATCACTTATGTTAAATGGATTTCAGACTGAAATACAAATTAATGCTATTTGTTTCCCGTCTTATTTCCCCAACATAAAGAAGAAAAAAAAACTGGAATGCAAATGAATCTCAGTTAAGCACACCCAAGTACCAAAATTACTTGGCATTCCTTCCAATTTATTACAAGATATACAACATTCCTGCGTAGCGGTGTAGCAGTAACTTAAATATCTCCAGAAACGACAGGAAAACATTGACCTAAAGAAATTCTTCAGGTTACCTCATTTAAGTGAATAATTCTTGCAATTTGTACCAACTCTTTCAGAACAGTGTCTACTTCCTCAGAACACAGAGAGCACTTCAAGTAAATGCAATTCTCAGACTTGAAACCCTGTCTTTCTAATAATTTCTACAGAAAAAAGAAATGTACAAAATGATAAGAGATAGTAAATTGACAGTAAGTTAGAATATTATAAGCTGTCCACCAAACTAAATGACGTCCAAAAGATCAAAATGCATAGATTCTCAAGGAAATATATATAAATGAGATAAATGGAGTCCTAGTTTGATTGCATAGATTAAGCTTCCTAGGTTGATTGTTAATTGTACTTTTGTCAGGAGGGATAAATGACAATGGAAACTCTCTCTTAATCAACAAGTCCAAAACCATGCGGGACATTTCCATGCACTTCCTTTATGTGGGAACACTTCCCAAATGGGTTTGGCATCTCCGAGCCTTATAACCCAAGTTGTGAGGTTTAGAAAGGATACTAGAACAATAATTTAGGGAAAAGGTTTCTTTTGCCTATCAAAGTTATGTAATTACTTGGGAAATGTAGATCAAAAGGATTACATGTAAATGATTAAAAGACAAAGATAATGAAAAAGATTCATCATAGAGTCCACTTGAATGTTAGCATGGGGCTTAGTTAGTACAGTTTGGGAGCATGCCAATTTTGATAATTAAAACTGGGAAGGATAGTATTGCAACAAATATGAACTCCTATTCATTTGGATTCCCTTTATTCTTAATATGGTTTAATGTACGGGTTTATCCATTGGGGTTGGATTCCTTGTCCAACTTTTTTCCTACACTTCATACTAACGGAAGTCCTTGTTACTTGCTAAAAAAATAATTGTATTGCAGCTAGAAAGGGACTTTGGTCAATATCGCCTGTTTTATGTAACTGCTGGCTCGTTACTATAGCTTAATCTGTGAGCATAAATCATAATCAACTTCATTATTCACTTGAATGTAGCATTCTTATCAGTACTGACTATCACTCAAAAAGTTAGAATGCCGACTAATGGAGAAAAGGATAAGCCAAATTATCTATCAATAAAGGTAGTAAATTCCAAATTATGCGATCCTTGCTATTCAAATTTTGCTCAAAATTTAATAGAGACTCTCACTTTCTACACTTTCCTGATAAAGAGAGCAGCGTAGAAGCAAAATGTGGGTATCCATATTTCACCTTCTTTTTGCTGAAAAGATGGTCATTTTGATTCAATGCAAGACATATTGAGCAATCGTTGACATCTCTTACTTCATCAGATGCGGAAGGCTGCAACACACAATTAAAGCCAACAAACAGTTAAGAACCAATTGTCTACTTTCTGTAATATACTACACCGCATGAGGGGTGGGAGGATACGAATATTTGAGAGAAAGTAGAAATACTTTAGTTGCTACGCTAAGCTCATATTGAACTAATCATCTTATCAAATTATAGACATTAGAATAGAGTTACATGAATATGGAACAGTAGGGAGCTATCAAATCTCAAAACAGTTTCTCAATGCCGTGTTTATCATATGGAATAGATTTTCTTCTTTATTTTTCCTTTTAATTTTTACAATTTTCAAATCTCTCAGTTGACAATACTTTCACAGGATCCATGGAATAGCAATTTAAACCAAGGTTTTTCCCCTCTGATTCAATGGTAAACATTAAAGAAACAACTAAAAAATGCCGCGATTAACAAAGAGAACAAGAAGATGAAAATAAACCTTGTTCCTTTTCGCGGACAAAGTAAGAAACGAAATCAGAAAAGAAGAAACAGTGAAGAACAAAACTAATATGACGAACCGAAATAAGAATCATACTAGGAAAACAAGATAATCCATCGAACCAAAGAGAATACACATTTCCTAAAATTCCAAGACCCGAAAACCAACATTCCGGCACTAAATCATACTAGCAAAGCTCAACAAAACAAAGAAAAACAGTAACAGGAGAAATCGCACAAGGATCCAAACAAATAAGAACTGCAGGGAACAAAAATTCAAGCAATAAACTCAGAAACACTAACTCCTTCACAATCCAACAGCAATGAAAGCGCAAAACAAAGGACACGGATATCAATGAAATCATACTAGCAAAGCTCAACAAAACAAAGAAAAACAGTAACAGGAGAAATCGCACTAGAATCCAAACAAATAAGAACTGCAGGGAACAAGAATTCAAGCAATAAATTCAGAAACACTAACTCCTTCACAATCCAACAGCAATGAAAGCGCAAAACAAAGGACACGAATATCAATGATAAAGTTTGTTTACCAGATTGTCAATCTCCATTGCAACACAGAAGTTGATGCAGCAAGTGAGCGAGGGAGTAGAAATTGAGCGGCAGAATTTGTAGAACGGGTTTATTTAAAGCTCGGCGCATTTTTCTCCTTCTCTCTTCATTTTCAAGTCCATTTTTTAGGTAAATGAAAAAATTAAATTATGTGAGAGAATATATAAAATTCAAATATATGTTAGGGACACATAAAATCTCCTGTCAATAAGATGTATTCCTTGCCTATAAACGCATTATCATTTTCTAAATTAGCCAATGTGGGACTCCCTCCCAACAATTCTCAATGGTATGCACATAAACATGCTTACAATAGTAAGTATATTATCGATTCTTCGAGGAGTTTATGCAAATTATTAACTCATTTAATTGTTGTGCAGATAACTCTTATGCTCGTTGATTTCCTCTCTCGGTATCCCTATTGAATCACTAAAGCTTCTTAGGTGTCTCCGTCGGATCACTAGAAAAATGTGAATCACCTCTTTTGAATCCAGAGTGAGTCCATGAGCAACTTAAGTATTGCTCGAAACTTTGAGGCACTTCAGATGCTTAGACAGCAGTTGAGGCTAGGCTCGAAACTTCCTAAAGCTCAAAGTAAAGGTTGTGGCTACCTACAAAGTTAATGATGCGATAAGAGCTACAAGTAGGTTGCTTACTGGGTATATTTATATACTCACCCTTCTCCCTTTCTTTTCAAGTGTTCGCAGGTTACTGGTCGAGGTGGATGAGCGTTCGAGAGCTCTACGGTCACAAAGGAGGTCGTTCTGTAGCATCAGTCTATCTCGTATTTGAGTCTTTTATATTTCATTTTTTAATTGTATCACAAACTCATTTCCCCTCGAACCACCCTTTTTTATATTTGGATTTTATTTTGTATTTAATTTTTGTGTTATTTGTCTTTCAATTTGATTAATTTTTACGACACTTTATTTTATTTTTATTTGTCTTTGCTTTCATCTTTTTAGTCTCGATATAAGTTTCAAAGACTTGAAATTCAGGTCATGACAAGAACAATTGACCTCATCCTCTCCCTAGCCCAAAAGAGACTTGGTTTATGATTGAATCATAAACAAATTGTTTATTTGTTCATACTTACGTTAAGTTTTGAACGGTAAGTAAGACTCATTCTCGATCAAATACGACCCGTCTATGAAACTCTTTGCGGCCTGAAATAGCACACAGTCTAATGGTCAAGAATACTCATTGTCATTAACTTAGCACACAACATATAAGTCAAGTTCTTGCAGGGCTTGGTAGACTAATTGAGACATGTCTTGCGACTATTCTCTTAGATTTCGGTCTCATATGTAAGACTCGCTCTCAGTCAAATACGACTCATCTACTAAACTCTCTGGCGGTCTGAAGTAACACACGGTCCATGGTCAAGAATACTCATTGTCCCTAACTTAGCACTCTTTGTCTCCTATCTCGACTCGATTAGCTCCAATTTTCATCATAGCTCTCTCGAAGTTCATGAATTGAGCAGTACCTTTCACTTGTTTTGCACGGCTTCCAGTCCTTTTCTGTCGAGTAATTTTTCTTTTTACCAAAATCAGACGTTGTAAGCACTTCTTTCACGTTTTTCAAGTAATGTTTTTTTCTCTGTCTAGGAGGTCGGGTTGTTACATTAGTAGCTCATAATAACGCTACAAGTAGTCGATATAAATTGATTACTTAAATAGGTATTTTGCCTCTCCCATTTCTCTTCTAACCCAAATTTTAAAATGATTTATGTATACTATTATTGAATTTTCATAGTAAATTATATATTAAAAGAATTAAATAGTTTTTAAAATTAATTAATTCAATTAAAATACATTAAAATGCAATATTTTATAGGGCAAAATGCACTTTGGTCGATCGACTAGGGATTAGTTGTCAATTCTTCTTACAGAGTTATATGCTATCAAAACCGATGTTATTGCCAACTCGCTTTTAGCGTATAACGCTGCTTTCTTTAAGATTGTTTTCAACGTATTTTCTTGCTCACGTTTTCTAAAACATTTATCTCAAACGTGACCAGAACATATGCTGACGTTGTTCACAAAGTTTGAATTTTTCACAGCAAACTTGTTCGTTAGATTAGAACAATTACTGCACAATTGTTGTCCCGCTACCGTAAGAATGTATTTTTGGTTGATTGATTAGGATCGACGCCTTTTTGGTTTTCTAAAATTATAACAATAAAATAAAATGTAATTTATATTCCATTAATTTCAATTTTATTAGTATTTTGTTTTAAAAATATATTTTAACTTTAATATATATATATATATATATATATATATATATATATATATATAATACATTTAATTTTTTTTTAGAAACTTAATAAATACCTGCCTACTTTTTAAAAAATTTTAAAATACACTTACCAACGAGATAGTACCATGTTTCAAAAATACTCATAAAATTTAATCATATTCTCTGGTATAGTACATTTTGGGGCATTTTTATCCAGGCGGGTATAGACGTGATTCTGGTGAACGATACACCCCCGTATTGACCCGATATGAAACGGTAAAGGCCTATCTAAAATGAAAGCATGAAAAAGGGGTTTGGAACGAGCATGTAACCATAGGCAACATGTCTTGGACAAGCATAACCGTGACATCCTCCCCCACTCAATTGGTTGACATCTCTGCCAACCAACTCGAAAAATCAAGACTAGAACATCTATCATGCGGCCATAAGCAACCTGCTTTGGACAAGCATGACCATGACATCCTCCTTGTCAACTGACTCAAACAAGCAAGATTGAGACGAACATCTGTCGTGAGGCCACAGGCAACATATTTTGGACAAGCATGACCGTGACATCTTCCCTACTTAATAGTTCTATGCAGTAAGTCGTCGTTGTTGTCTTTTGCTTACATTCCCATATAACACTCATTTTAACAAGCATTTTGAGATTTTTTATTATTAAAATGTTTAAAAAATTAAAGATATTTTTTAAATAAATTATACAACCTTTCCATATTAGAGCGTTGAGACAAGTCAAAATCCCAATCAGATAGATACGAATGGATCAAAACAAGCTCTGTTTCAGCGATGAGAGCCACTACAAAACCGTCCCTCTCTGCAAGATAAGTGTGGATGTGGGCAACGGAAATCTGTTACTAATTCCATATAACAATGCTTTACTTCACCAATAGATAAGGGTTCTTGTGAAGAAGCGTGGTTTTTGAAGATGGCTTCCACTGCGCTGATTCTCCCCATCCATGGAGGAAACCTCTCTTTCCGCCATACCCACCCTTCTGCAACATTTTCCAGGTAATTTCAGCTTCTTCCTCGAATACCTGTTTATCTCATGCGATTCTATTAGTATAATCGGATTTTCTAAGAGATTAAGAGATGATTGACTGTTTTCTTGCGCCGATCGGCGGTGTATCTCCTTGTTTTTCTTCTTTATTAGGTTTGAATTTCTTTGTTGAATTGGGGCTTTGTGTCTAGACTTCGTATGTTGTAGATGGCTTCTGTACAACTTTACAAGCTACAGAGTGATAAATAGAAGCTTCTAGTTCCTTCCTTTGGGTTGATTAGAGTTGGAACTGCTCGTCGATGATAAGCGTCAAGATGAGGTTCTTATAAGATCCTTGCAAAATGAGGTTCTTCTAAGATCCTTGCAAAATTTCACAAACTAACTTAACTAATGATTCCAACTAAGAGCGGGTTGGAAGGATGAATAACTCTTAGATCGAACTTGGAATCTATGATGGTCACTCTTAGATTCCAAGATGATTCACTCCAGAAGTAGCTTCATCCGACTAATTCAATGAATTGATTTTACTTTGAGAAAGAAACATCAGTTTTTGTATTCCACCATGATTTCAATCTTGAATATTACATGCCTTTAAATATGCAAAAAAAAAAAAAAAAAAATCCAAATATAATGGTAATTTAGTCTTAATTGGTAGTGATATTTAAACCCACTCCATTGTTTTCTTGATTTGATACTTAAATCTTTTTTACCTTGCTTCGTGTTGCTCCTTCGAGTAATTGCTCCTTCGAGTAATTAGTGGTTAGATTCATATCAGTAGATGTCTTACAATTGGTGTGTATCACGTTCTGGATATTAGTTAAGACAATTAGATTTGGCTCGTTCTGATTTAGGTCATTATGCTGTGAGAAGTTTGGTGCGTACTTTCATGAGTTAGCGACCTGGACTAATGCTTAAGCTTCTTGAATATCTGGTATTTTCTCTCTATATATGTCTGGTTGTGAAGTTTCCTGTTTAATAACCGGGTGATGGAGCTTCACTCCTTGCCATGAAAACTTGCTCCGGCCAAAAACAAGGGTTTTGAGTTCTTAAGTAAGTTTTAGCCATAGGGATGCAAATCCAAAACCTTGGAGGGTATGTCTAAATAGGGAAAATTTTTGGTACTACGGGAATATGGATACTCATGTTTGAAACATGCTTACTTGTTATGACGTTTTCCATTCAATTTTGATCTCATTGAATTGAGTTCATATAGGATCAAATACTAGTCACCAAGAAGCATATATAAAAGAACTAAATTAGTGTTAAAAACCATTATAGCTAGCTTGGTGGTCTCCTGTTGTGGTTCTTCACGGCTCTGTCTTACTGTAACCCTTTCTTTATTCATTTACTTCGTGCTCCTCCTTTTTCTCTTTGTATATTTGTAACAGTCCAAGCCCATCGCTAGCAGATATTGTCCTATTTGGACTTTCCCTCTCAAGCTTCCCCTCAAGGTTTTTAAAATGCGTCGGTTAGGGATTCGAGCTTCCCCTCAAGGTTTTTAAAATGCGTCTGATAGAGAGAGGTTTCCACGCACTCATAAGAAATGCTTCGTTCTCCTCTCCCACCGACGTGGGGATCTCAAAATTCACCCCAGTGTCCTCATTGACACACTACTAGGTGTCTAGCTCTGATACCATTTGTAACAGCCCAAACCCATCGATAGCAGATGTTGTCTTTTTTGGGCTTTCCCTTCAGAGGTTTCCACACCCATATAAGGAATGTTTTGTTCTCCTCCTAATCAACATGGGATCTCACAATATTCTTTCGGTAAAAGGATCCCTTTTGTTCTCTAGCTGGTGGTTATAAATATAAAGCATATTGATGAAGGCTCTCCAGAATTTCGAGCTGAACTCACACAAGTCCTACACTATTCTTGGTGAAAAAGATGAGGGACTTTCCTTAAATTTTTTCTTATAGCTAAGACCTATATAGGCAATGAAATGAGTTCTAAACTACTGTCTCATTTACTTTTGAGCCACGTCTCCAAAAATATGCCTATTAATATTTACTAGATGTTCCAAATTATAGCCTTAAAGCTGAATTTATATATTTTTTGCTCTTCTCTGTTAGTTGATGACTAGCAGAAGAACTTAAACAGTTGGATACAATTTTCGACACATTACATGGTGCATGTTATTGTAGTAATAGTTTCAGTCATTGGAAATGTTAGCACTCTACTCTTTGAAATATTATTTGACAAATAGTTAGAATCCAAGACCTAGAAAGGAAATGAAACAGAATTCAACAAATTTTCCCCCTCTTGATCCTTTACCTTGGGTGTATTCTTTTTAATCACGAAACAGTATTTTTTTCTCTGCTAATTGATACATCATTCTTGATAGTTTCTTTTCCTTCCAGGTGGGGTTGGAATAGGGATCAAGACGTCGGAAAGAGTACACACAGAACGAGGGGTCAAGCATTCCGAATTTTGGCTAACCCTAATGTACGCTTCAACTCAAGGCTTCTGCATGTTTAATGGCAATATATTTGGTTTGAATATGGTCAAAGATTTTGTAGGTATGTCATTAGAAATTAATTAGTGGATGCATATATTCAGAGAATTCACACCTGCCCCCCATTCGGATTTGAATAGAACCAATCTTTCAGCATCTCTTTATGATTGAAATGAATTTGATTGAGTTGTCTGTCTGATTCATCATAATTATCTTGATTGGTTTTGATTTTGTTCTCTCAATGAAAACCATATTCTAAGTTGTTTATGGGCTTTTGTTCTGCGACAAACATATATCATGTCAATTGTTTAGGTCTCTCCCGGGAAAGATGACTTAATTAAGAAGGTGATTATGGTTGATCCTTTGGAAGCCAAACGTTTGGCTGCAAAAGAAATGGAAAAAATCAAAGCAAAAGAGAAGTTCAAGGTATGGGAAGCAATCATCAGTGATGCAAAACTTGTTTAATAAACCATATGGATATGCAGATAATGTTGTGAAATGTGATTGCAGAGACGACGTCAAATAGAAGCGATAAATGGAGCGTGGGCAATGATTGGTTTGACGGCAGGGCTCATCGTTGAAGGTCAAACTGGAAAAGGCATTCTAGCACAGGTGAGAAGTTATAGCGTTTTACGTTCTTTTGTATTCGTGCCATTTCTTTAACATTCTTTTGAACAAATTGATTGGTTTAGAACATTTGTTTATTCCTATATGCCAAGGAGTGATAGCTTAAGAAAGCTACCAAAGTAGCCACAATGACGACAGGAACTTATGGGTTCGGCCGCTTCGTTTCAATAGGTTATTTAAATACCAAAATTTTATAAGGTTATAACATAGTTACCATTTTTTATTTGAGTAAACATGGAATGCTTGTGTAATGTACCACATTGGTTGGGGAAGAGAACAAAACACCCTTTATAAGGGTGTGGAAACCTTCCCCTAGCACACGCTTTTTAAAGCCTCGAGGAGAAGTTTGAAAGGGACAATATTTGTTAGCGGTAGGTCTGGGTCGTTACTACTTGTCAACTCTAACCAGTAGCCTCTTATGCCTTTGTTAAGCTTTCAAAGTGGAGAGAAGAAAAAAAGGAGAGAGAAAAACGAAAGATTGTGAGCTAACGAACTTGATTTTTACGAACAAAGATACTAAAATAAAAACGGAAATATAATGATATGGGACCTTACTGTGTAGAAACGAGACAACCAACCTAAACATGGTTAAGTGGATAAAAAGTAACATTACTTTCTTCCTATTAGAAGTTTTTTAAACACGAGTATTCTTTTGGTATATTGTGAGGTGTTCGGCTTGAGAGAAACAATATGATTTTTGGAGTGGAGAGGCCCTTTGACGGGGGCCGAGAGGAGGTGAGGTTTAATGGCTCAGTGTGAGCTTCGGTCGCTTAGCTTTTCTTTAGTTATGATCATGGTTTGATTTTGTTGGATTCGAGTCCTTTTCGATAGCCTGTTCTTTGGGATTCTCTTCTATCGAGCTTGTTTTTTGTATGCACATGTCGTTTTTTTCGATGAAAGTTTAGTTTTTTACCGAACGAAAGCCTCTTACTCAATGTTGTTTTTCACTTATTTTCTAGTTGGCCGGCTACTTGGCCGCGGTTGTGAACTTCTTTGTACGGTAGACATCTTCAAGGGCAAAAGGACTTCTCCTTTGAATGGAAGAGTTATTCTCGTCTCGACCATCGAAAGTTCGGTATGTTAAATATTTTCGAGCTAAGTCCTATTGTTTGTTTATCGTTTTATACCTAAAGAAAAGGATGTTTCCATCCTAAGAAACAGAAGTCTGATTCTTCCTTCTTTTCAAGACTGATTTCTTCACATTTCATGTACAAATTTGACATTTAATTGTGAAAGTGTATTGAGATGGTTTGTTGCAATCGATATCTTACCATAACTCTCCTAATTCTTTATTTCTTTCTTGGGTAAAGAATTCTTTTGATCCACAACTTCCATCAAAGTTATCTTTAATCTTTTAAGTTCGTGTTACTTTTAATCTTTTAAGTTCGTGTTTAGAACATGGATGGCTATGAGTTGGACTGTTCAAACATTTTTTAGGCTCAATTCAATTATTTAGATGACAAATTTTTTAACCCAATTAGTCCAAGTCAGTCCAAGCCAACCATGACATTTCATGCATATGACCCCATTGTTGGAGTCGGTATACCATGTATTATGACTCGAGATCTTATGTCATACTTTCTTTTCTGGGTATGGTTAGATGCATAGAACTTCTCTATACATGGTTAACGCATGTGTATGTGCCTGTGCGCCAACTAGATTAGTTTGTTAACATACGGCTAGGTCTTTATTAAAAGTACACACTCATAGAGTAAAAAATCAATGAAAAAGAGACAAATGCGAATATGCCTGTGTAACTATCCTTCTTGCTTCGGTTGAGCATGGTTGATTAAGTTCATTGGGTCAGTATCTTCTGTGTAACAATTTAATCTTCATGAAAAATTTTATAGAAATTAAGCATTTTAAAGTGTGTTTTAATAGTTACTTTTTAATTAGTGAAAAATATCTTTTTAATTTAATGAGAGAAAAAACTTAGTGATTCTTTAAGATATTAAGCAATATAATTCACCAACAAATGTTTTATTTCAAAAAATGAAAGGGATTTTTTTTTAAAAAAAAGCAAATGTTATTATATGATATTAAAATATAATTTTTTTTGAATATTTTATCAATACATTCTTATTACTTCAAGGCCCAAGCCCACTATGTAATGACCAATTTGCATCTCTTAATGTTTGGGCCGGGCGGAGGGTTATTATGAGACCAATGGTTGGAGAGGGAAACAAGTCATTCGTGTAGAAACCTCTTCTTAGTAGACATGTTTTAAAACTGTGAGGTTGACGACGATATGTTACGGACAAAAATAGACAATATCTGGTAGCAGTGAGATTGGACTGTTATAAATCATATCAAAGCCAGACACCGGGCGGTGTGCCAGTGAGAACGCTAGCCCTCAAGGGAGTAGATTGTGAGATCTTGTCGTTAGATGGAGAAGGGAGCAAAACATTCCTACCCAAAGGAGTAGATTGTGAGATCCTGTCGTCAGATGAAGAAGGGAGCGAACCATTCCTGCCCTCGAGGGAGTAGATTGTGAGACCCTATATATTTAGATGGAAAGGGGAGAGAAACATTCGTGCCCACAAAGGTAGATTGTGAGATTACATGGGAACGTAAGATTACTTATAAGGGTGTGAAAATATAGTGAGACTGATGACATATATAATAGGCTGGGCTAAAGTGGATAATATTTGCTAGGGCTCTTACACCAAGAACGATACCCTTTTACTATTGGTGCTTCGTTTGAACCTCGTCCATACTAAATATGATCTCATAATACCAAGTATTAAGGATGACCAGTGAGACGATCAAACACCTAAGAAGTATATTTGCATGACTAAGATTTAGAAATCCAATCCCGAGTTCATTAATTCGCATTCGTTCGTAAGTACATGCTTCTTTTTGCACAAAAATTCAAAGAATTTTGATACTAAAACATGAGAATTTGAACTTTTGACCTATTAGTCAAGAATATACAAGTTAACTCGGTGAACTCAACTTACCTCGACGAAATAATTGTAAACTAAATGACAACGTGGCATGTCTAATAAATACATCTACAAGAAAGTGTGGTACACAAAACGTCTTTTTCGAAGAAACACATTAAATTTTTATATCGACCATATCACTTGAATTTGTCCTACTATTATTATTATACATATGAAAACAATAATTGAGGCAAGCAGTGTTTGTGTCTTTTTTTTTTTTTTTTTTTTTTT